GAGACCCCAATGTGCAGAGGGCAGGTGCCAAACTCTGGGGCCAGGCAAGATGGGTGGGATAAAGACCAAGGCCCTGCAGCTGGGCCTCCTGGGGTCCAATCCTACCCCATCTGTCTCTGGTTATGGGGCTGGGGCCTCAGTTTCCCCATCTGTAAGGGAGGCCAAATAATAGGACCCACATCCTAGGGTTGGTGGGAGGATTAAGAGCGTTCTCTGTGGATCGTGCTTAGCACAGAGCTTGTCAGCATCAATGCCGCAGACCCTGCCGTGGCAGCTGTATCCCTGTCGCCTTCAAGGAAGGATTCCCTGGGTGGCCAGGCCATGCAGTTCCCAATACAGCCACACGGTGGCGCCGCGCCGCAGAGCTCGGTTTGTGTGTCCACTGCAGGCCAAATGGGCGGTACTGCCCACCCGCAGGAGGGCCCAGGGCGGGCCCGAGGGTAAGCAAGCTCAGTCTCCTGGAGGCTGGGTCATGGCGAGAGGGTGCAAACCCCACCTGGTCCAGGCGCAGGTGGTATGAGGTATCCACTGACCGCTGGGGTGAGGATGGGGAGATTGTCATCGCTGTCCCCACTTCACAGATAGGGCCACCGAGGCCCGGAGGGTGAGGCAGCTGGCGGAGGTGGAAGGAGCACTGTCATGCAGATGCGGGTGCCGTGATTCCCTCGTCTCTTCGCTCTCACCCCTCCTGGCAATGGGCCTGGGTCTGGGGGTGGGGCTGTCGGGAAGGGGCCACTTTGGCAAGAAGAGCCCATGGAGGAGAAACGTGCACAGAGTCCAGGAGGCTGCAGGCTGCCTCCTGCTGCCCGGGAGGCCAGAGTGCCCGTGGTCCACAGAGCTGAGCAGCTGTAATGCTTAAAATGCTCCCTCCCTCTCTCTCTCTCTCTCTCTCTATCTATCTATCTATCTATCTATCTATCTATCTATCTATATATATACACACACAGTATTCATTTCAGAGAGAGGAAGGGAGAGGGAGAGAGGGATGGAAACATCAATGATGAGAGAGAATCATTGATTGGCTGCCTCCTGCACACCCCACACTGGGGATCAAGCCCACAACCCGTGCATGTGCCATGACCGGGAGTTGAACTGTGACCTCCTGGTTCATAGGTTGACACTCAACTACTGAGCCACACCGGCCTGGCTTAAAATGCTCTTTGCAACGAGTGGAAGCCACCTCCCATGCCCTCGGACCCAGGGGCCTGGAGGTTTGTGTCCCAGGCCGGTCTGGGGGCAATTCCGCGGGAGCCTTGACCTATGTGGGCTGCGGTGAGAAGATGGGCCCAGCCTGGTCGGTGAGAGGTTCCCCCTTTTTGCTCTGGGAACCGGGACAGGAAGCGGGCTCCAGAGTCACCTGGGGGCCCTGCTGGCCCTCAGTGGCAGCCAGTGTGGGTGGACAGAGGATCACAGTTAGCTGTCCACCTGGGAAGGTTCTGGATGGGGTGTGGCCCCCCTGGTTGTCTTGACCAAAGGGGCGTGGTGGCCTTTACACTAGTCCAGGGTCAGGCGGGCCCAGCCCAGGGTCCCACCGCAAACTGTGTGTGTGGGGTCCTGGATGATTTTGAGAGACAGGACGGTCACTGGGGGGCCTCGGGGCAGGGCGAGAGGGGCTCAGGCCAGCAGCTCCTGCGGAGTCTCCCCCCCTCTGCTTGGGGGCCCGCCTTCCTCTGGGCGAGGATCCTGTGTCCCCAGCAGGATCCAAAGTGTGTGTGACCCCACGGAGGGTCTCCACAGCCCTGGGGTGGGTGACTCCCAAGTCCACGTATCTGCCCACAGCTCACCCTTGGGCTCCAGACAGCCTCTGCCATCTCCACCTGGACGTCCCAACATAACCCAGCCCAGGGAGGGGCAGACGCTGGGGGTATTTCTGGCAGGCGGGCCACGACTCTGAATCAGGGAGGGGCCTGGAGCTTAAATTCCCTCGGGGAGCGGGGAGCACGGCGTCTCCAGCACGTCCTCTCACTCCAGGAAACCAGGTCAGGGAGTGCCTGCGTGTGGCCTGCCTGGGGCCGCTTCACTGTGACCGGGCCCTTTCCAGGGACAAAACTGGAGAGGTGGGGCCTCACTGTCCCTGGAGCCCGCCCCCTGCTGTGAGCACAGCAGCCTGAGGAGGACCCTGCCACCAGCTTCACGTCCCCTGGGTCACCCCCACCCTCTCACTCGCCAGAGGACAGCAGCTCTTTGGCCCCCACCCAGAGGTGGGTGGAACCAGGAACCCGGAACCCTGGCCCCAAAGGACCCAGGGGCTGCCCATGCCCTGACACCCAGAGCACCCCATGCAGCCGGACAGCCTCTGCGCCTCTCTGCTGGCTGGGAGCCTGGAGACTGGGGGCTCCCCAAGGCCACCCAGGTGGCCACCAGCTTAGGTGTCTGGGCTGGACGGGCCTGGGTTTGGGAAACCAGCTCCCGGAGCTGTGCCGCAGCGTGTATGTGCGAGCCCGTGTGTGTGTGTGTGTTTGTGAGCTTGTGCACATGTGTGAGCCCTCTGTGCACGCGTGTACGTGAGCTTGCACATGTGAGCCCATGTGTGTGTGAGCCCCACGTGTATGTGTCCACTCATGTCCTCTGTATCTCGTGTTTCTGTGGTCTCTGTCCATCCCTGTGCATCTGTCTCAGGTATGAGGCTGTGTAGGGGTCTCGGGGTCCGTGTCGGGTGTCTGCACTGCATGTACCTGGGTATCTGCTCTGACCCGAGCTGTGAGGAGGTGTCAGTTTTAACGTGAGGGAGTGGACGGACCCGGGAAGCAGGACAAGGCCCATTGATGCCCCATGGGTGCCCGTCCCTTGCTGTGCATCGGGAATTCCACTCTCACTCAGTCCAGAGAGGTTAGGCGGCCCAAGGCCACATCCCCAGGAGGCGTGGTCCATCCAATGTCGACATCACGGTCCTTCTCTGAGTCCTGGCCACAAGGCCCGGTGAGGCCCCCATTTGAAGCTGTCCTGCTCTATTTGCAGGGGTCCCCAGCATGAGTCTCTAGGAGAGTCCTGAGAGCCCGTCAGCGGCACTGGGTGTTCCTGGGGGTGAGGGTGGGGGACCCCTGAGACCCAGCTGGGGTGTGTATAAATGTGGGGTGAGCAGGAAGCAGGGCCCCCTCCCTGACCCCGCCACACTCAGATGCCCTTCCCACTTTGATAGGCCTCCCCTGACCCTCCCGTCCGTCCTGGACCCTCTCTGCGGAGTGGTGCTGCCGGCTGCGCAGTGTGGGAGCTCAGGGTGGGGGGCCGGTGGGAGTGGGACAGCAGCTTCCCCCAGCCACTGTGACTCAGGGGGGCTGGTCCCCTGGTGTTTAGTAAATGTGCACTCTGCTCTTCCGGCACCCCAACTCCCGCCGACTGCCGAGGCCCCCTGGGCAGCCTGCTGCTCTCACTGCATCTCCCACCGCTGTCCATTCCGGGAGCCCCTGCCCCTCGCTGGCCCTTCTCTGTCTGCACCTGACCCTGGTCCTGCCTGGGCTCCAGGTGTCTGCCTGCATGATACCCCTCACCCGGTCACTGCCCTACCTTTCCCCACCGACTCCCCCAGCCTGTGAGCCTCGGGGGACTGCCATGGCCATGCCCACTGATGCGTGGAGATGCCAGGTCTCTGCCCACAGCAGGGACACCAGTGGCTGGCTGGAGAGTCGAAGCTGCAGGATGAGCTGGCAGGGGCCAGAGGGCACGTGTGCGTGTGTACCCACCACATGTACACACGTGCTCCCACAGGCACACACCTGATCCTGCACCTGCTCACATGGGATCACCTCCCACATGCATACATGCTCTCTTGCACACACATATACATATGCACACGGGATGAGCACACACACACACACACACACACTCCCCTACACCCATGCACATGGGTGCACACTCATACACATTGTCATACACACGTGCTCACTTGCACAAACTCAGACCCACACTCACACATGTACGCACACACATGCATTCTCACATGCACACACACGTACCCAGCCCCATGCACACATGTGGACACTCATACACATTGTCACTGCCTCACACAGGCAGTGGGCCCAGAGATGCTGCACCCACGAGGATCACAGGAATCGAGTTGTTTTTTCCCTACACACGTTCCTACAATAAAGAAAACAGGAAGGGACTTGGGGCCAGAGACAGGAAGAGGGCGTGGCCTGTGCGCAGGAAGCTGGCTCCAGCCGGGTGGACACGGGGCCTGTGTGGGCGGGACTCAGGACAGACAGACAGACCTGGGCGGTGGGAGATGGAATGCCTCCAAGGCATCTGGGCCCTGTGCTCATCCTCACCACAGCGTCCGAAGGTGTCACCCCCCGTTTCCAGGTGAGAAACTGAGGCTGGGGCCAGGCTCGTCCCAGTCACCGTGGCGGCTGGTGGAGATGGCGCTCGACCCAGGCCCATTGGACGCCACATGCTTCTGGGTCTGGTCCCGCAGCCCCTCCACTAGGGAGCCCAGGGCAGGGGCTGCAGGAGACACCCCAAGACTGACCACAGGCCCCTGTGGGAGCACACGTGCCTGTGGCAGCAACGTGAGCTCCTCCTGCCCGAGCCTGGCCCACGGCCGGGTGCGCAGGAGCTGCTCACACATGCTCTGCGGGTGTGGAAACTGACACAGAGGCGCACCGCCTGCCTGCAGGCCACCAGCAAGGCAGGTCTGACGGCCCTCCCTGAACCCGCTTACAGCTTCAGGGAAGGAGCGAGGGCCGGGCTGTGGGCCCCTGGGTGCACCTCCCTGGCCCCCCTACAGAGGCCCGAGCAGGGCAGCAGCGTTCTCTCACTAACCCTCTAAACCTGAAGCCCACACGCAGGTGAGGCTGCTCCCCACGCTGCAGGCGAGGAGGCCCCAGGTGCTCCCCCTTCTCCGCTTCTTCCCCTCACACCCACCCAAGACAGAGCGGCAGGGGTTCCCCCTCTTCCACCCCCAAGAGGGGTCCCAGAAGCAGGCCTGGCCCTGAGGGGGAGGCGGGCGGTTTCGGGGTGGGGGTGGGGGAGCAGGTGGGGTTATAGGGCTCCAGAGACAGTCTTCCTCTGGCTTTGTCTTTTATTTTCTCACTTAAAATGTCAGCTGGGAGGGACCCAGGCTGACCAAGAGCCTGGCACCGAGGTCCCAGGATGCAGGCGGGACTTTCGGGGCCAAAATGGCAGAAGGCCCTGGGGGACCCCAAAGTCATTTAATCTAACCCCACCTGATGCTTGAACTCTCTCCACTGTGTCCTCCCTTAGTGACTGTCCAGCGCTGCTTGCATACCTCCAGGGACAGTGAGCTCACTACCATACAGAACACCAAGAGCCAGCCCAGAGGGGGACACAGCCAGGACCAGCTCTGCCGACCGTGAGGTAAGAGTGAGAGGGGCACGGGGGACCCTGGCCCGCTTTCAGGGGCAGTCACACAAGGCTTCCCAGAGTGGGAGAAATGGGGGAGGGGACAGGGAATTCCTGACAGGGCGACAGCACAGACAAAGGCCGGGAGGCCTGGCAACACCTCCTAGGGATCGAACTTCTGAGTTGTTTGTCCAACAGCCGGGGTGACTGCACTTTCCCCTGCCCTGTCCCAGAAGGGGGTTCCTTGGGGAACACCGTGGCCTGGCCCCCCCTGCAGCTCTCCCCAGGGTTCTGAGCAGGGCTCTGGTGCTGGCGGCATTGCTGCTGGATGTTGGGGAGTGCCACTCCACCCCCCACTTTTCTGAGGCTCAGGGACCCTTCGGCACCAGGATCTGCTCCCTCCTCCAGCCACACCCACTTAACCCTGCGTGGGCACACTCTCAGTGGGTGGTATCACTCGTTCTTTCTCTCCAAGGCCCATCAACACCCCCTCGCTGACCACGTGGAACCATCCCAGGGAGGGAGCGTGCAGGCATTCTGGGGTCCCCAGGGCTGGGGCTGAGGTTTTGGGGGCTGACCAGGCACCCAAGGGTGCCGTGGTTCCTCAGGCACCATTCGGAGGCGCTGAGAGAGGCCCGGGCAGGGAGGGCAGTGCCCAGATTTATCCACCAATCGCACAGGCCCCTGGAACTCGCTCTTATCTGCCCAGCCCAGCATGGGGGGGTGGCCTGGCTGGCGGGGGCGGGACGCTGCCTGGACACTGGGCGTGAGCAGGGCCAGCAGCCCCAAGCCCCGGTGGGTGAC